CAATAGTATCTTCTTAAACCTGTATGGTAGTCAGGAGCATCACTTTCTAATGTTTATTGATATATTTAGAGGGAGGGGATCTAAAGTAATGCTTTAAAATTCAGATTAGATTAATGTCTACCATTTTTTTTAATTCATGGTAGTTTCAATAATCCCATGGTAATTGAGGACACAAGTTATCTAAATGACTGTCATCTTTATGGCTTTCAGAAAGGACAGGAGACCGACAGGTGACTATCAAAGGACTAGCAGCAGCAGCATGATGATGATGTTAAATGTGTTGTTTTAGGAACATCCATTGCAAATACATGGAATTCAATAAACATTGAATAGCATATCATGCAGTTTGTCTGTGCCTTTTCCTCGGTGTTGTCCTGGTGTGCTGTGCTGCCTCCTAGTCGCCACCATGGTTTGCTGTGCTGCCTGGGGATGCTCCAATCGCTCAGAGAAAGGAGTATGAATGTACAGCTTCCCCACTGACACAGAGCGGAGGAAGCAGGAGCAATTTCACGACCAACAGCAAAAAAATATGTGATTTATATACAAACACTGCATTTGCACTTTTTCACAAAACGAAAACCACACCATTGGGAAAGCTTAATGTTTTGTTTAATACAAAAAACAGGGAAAGGCTTGAAAAACACTGAGAGTTGAGACTCAGGGTGCAGGGTGAGGGTCTCAGTGCAGGTATTCAGGCTCCATTGAATCCCCCTCTGGTTCTTGTGCTGAAAGAGGGATAAACAGACAGGAGAAAGGGTTATACACACCTATATAGCACACCTATTGGATGGGAAATTGCCTTGGGGAGATAAGGTGTGGTCTTTGTTCCCAACTGAAGTTATGGAACTTTATTATTTGTGAGTTTAACAAAGTATGACAAATGGCATCAGTAACATATGTGATATGAATTTCTATAAAGTTGTCTCACATTCTTGGTCATATTGTATATACAGTATGTAATGAGTATAACATGTCCAGTAAGTATAAAGTGTTTCCTAATACTGTGTATTCAACCACTATGGAATATGTATGTGGGCAGACAAAACTGAGTTGTTCTGTGTGTGAAGTCACTCAAGTCACTCCGCAGGCACATTTTGATGCAGACCAGTTTGTCAAGACAAAAAAGGGCAAGACTAGGCTGAGAGCAGAGGCTATACCCACCATCTTCGTGCATCGCCCTGTGGTCAAAAAGAGAAGGGCCCCTGCACCACGATTCACCCCGGGACCTGTATCTACAAAGCCCATAGCTCATGATCACAGCGATAGTGTGAAAGGTGACACAGGTATAATAAGTATGAACTCTTAGTAACAAAAGTAATATTTCTTATTTTTAAGTGGTATAATAGTTTAAATGTTTGAACATTTACAGTGCCATGTCTTCTACTTACATTAGTCTCAAAGATTGAGGGAAGAAGGGAAGGGATCACTGCCCTCCACCTGCCAGAGGAGTGCAAACAACAAAAACAAGCAAGGTGTCCCGTCATGTACCTGGAAGTTTGGGTTGGCAAAATGGAGTAAGAGAGGGACTTGAAAAACCTTGGTGGCTGTCTACTCATGTTGTTACAGTTGTCTTGGTTACAGCTCTCAAGTTTTTTTTTGTGCCATTTCCACATCTTTAGAAAATATGAAAAAATTGAAGTGAAATCAACCTCTTCTCTGGAGAACAAACTTTGATTTCTCTGTCTTGTGAGTTTGCAGTCTTGCAGTTTTGCTCCTCCACCTGTAACATCACTGCCCCTCCAGCTGCCATACAGTAGGTTACTAACAAGATTACTTATATAATACAGTGATAGAATACATGTTTAGTATGCTTACTTATATAAAACAGTAGTATTAAACTTACCTTGTGTTTTCACACTCACTCAAGTCCCTCTCCCTTTGCCATCAATCCAAAATCAGCTGAGCTGCAACATTATACAGGCAGGTAATAATCAACATAATCACAAGGACACAATATGGCTCTGCTAAAAACACTCACTCTTACACGCACCAAAGTTATATTTATCTAATATTTAACTCCCTCCACCCCCGCATACAATCCCGTTTAGAAGCCCCTCTTCTCTAATTCAACAACGTTGGACCAAATGACATTAAGAGAATGGAATTTACAATTAAAAGGTTGTTCAACGTCTGTTGCTAACTTGCTTCGGTATCCTAGCTTGATCTGTTATCTGTAAACGTTCCCTAAATCTACTGATTTAGGGATAATCCACTGACATCCTTTAATACACATGTTAATTTGAATCAGATGTACTGATAATATCCGCAATATAAATCTTTAAACTTCTTCTTACCTTTAAAAGTCCGTCACGAACGGTTATTATGCTGCAACTCTACCGCTCTGCTAGCCTTGGCGCTAACTTCCGGGGAACGAATGAGAGGCTCCACGATCCGCCATTGCTGTAAAAAAGTGGTCCATTGGAGTGAACGGAGATGTCATAACTCTTCTATTATACGGCTCTGGTAGTCAGTAATTTGAGGAACTGTCGAAATGGCGAACGCAGATCAAGTTGAGCTCGAAAATCCTCCAGCATCATTGAAGTCTCCGGTTTGGGAACATTTTGGTTTCGCAGTTACGTACAAGGATGAGGGACAAAGACAGGTGGACCGAACCAAAGCTGTTTGTCGGCATTGTTCAACTAAAATAGGTTACGCGGCTGGCAATACATTAAACTTGCACACTCTTGAAAAGGCATCACCGAACGTGAATATCACCGGTACCAAAAGACTGAAGTGCAAACCCAACTCCCGCTAGCATGTAGGCCTCCACCACTCGCAGAGAGTTCAGACCGAGCCAAAGCTATTAAAAACGCCAAATATCCTTATGTTGCCATGTTAGCAAAGCGCTACCTGGCTTTGTCTGCTACCTCTGTCCCTAGAGAGGGTGTTCTCCACAGCAGGAGACATTGTTAGTTTGAGCAGATCTGCCCTTTCGGCAAGCAATGTGGACAAGTTCATCTTTCTTTAAAAAAACATGAAAATACAATGACAAGCAAGTCCTAATGTCAAGCTGGCTGCTTAGGGACTAGTACAGTTCAAATACAGATTATTTCAGTTCATCGAAATGCTCCACCTTAATGTTTATTTTATTATATGTTGTATTTATTCGAGTGAATATTCACAGTTTAATAATAATTAAAAACACAAAACTAATAGTTTATGTTTTGTGAGTACCAGTGGTGGCGCCAGGGTATGGCTGGCGTAGGCTACAGCCATACCAAGAAATGGGTTAGCCCCACCTTAGCCCCACCATGAAAAATGATGTTACAGTAAAGTAAGCTAAATAAAGTCCGCCAACTCGCGCGGAGTAAATTGCACAGACAGCGGTTAGTAAGATTGATTTCAGTAGCCACTTGTCCACTTGTGTGGAAATACAGAAGACTAGAAACGGTTTTGAAAACTTTTGTCACATAGTGATGGTCTTCTTAATAGAACATCTTTGATAATGTCTTCTGGCCAATCAGAATCAAGATAACGGCGTGGTGTTGTTGCAGGAAGTCCCGACGGAGAATACTTTTGCTGTAGTACATCTCTATATACATCGATACAACATTACGTGTTGATAGAAATCAATACGTAATGAAATAAGACCCCACGGTTTGATGATTGATAGGTGTGTGGGCTGTCTTCATTTTGACGCACAGAACAATGGGGGCTATCCACCCTTATCCACAATGTAAAGTAATTCACAGCCTCTTCCCTCTTCTCTCTGTGAGGAGCAGCAGGTTCAGCTTTCAGAACAAAGTAACAACAAACTAAAATGGCATTCATTTTTTAAAATATGTCGTGGAGTAATAGATTTATTTATTGTTCTTCTCAAGAGAGTACCAGAATGTGTATTTGATGTTAGTATTTCAAAAAATCTCCTGGGGGACAATCCCCCCAGACCCCCCTGCAGGGGTTGGGTTGTCAGCATGTCAACTCTTTCACCTGTGGAGAAATTGCAGGATTGGCTCCAGGTCGCCCTTTTATTTACTACAAGACAAATGTGTTTTTTATTTCATACAGTTCAATTTGGATTGAGACAGGGAAATAATCTAAACCTCACGCGTGGCGTTTCACTGTCAAGGGGCAGCGTGTATGTAATTACATTAGAAATACTGACCTGAGCCCCACCACTGTGTGGGTTAGCCCTACCATAGATTACCCAACACAAATACTCTGGAGCCGCCACTGGTGAGTACTAGTACAGTAAAGTTCAAATACAGATTATTTCAGTTCATCGAAATGCTGCATCCTTAATGTTTGTTATATTTTGTATTTATTTGAGTAAATACATTATTCATAGTTTAATAATAATTTTTAAAAAACAACTATTTTTTTTGTTTTGTGATCATTTTTTATGCTGTACCGAAAACGTACCGAACCGAACCGTGACCTAAAAACCGAGGTACGTACCGAACCGAAATGTTTGTGAACCGTTACACCCCTAGAGTATCTTAATGCTGAGAATCCTACACAGCATAATTCACTCATCTTAAACACCTGAAACTCATCTTATATTCTGCAGCATGCTTTAAATAAATTATAAAGTACATATTTATATTAAAACGTTTTCTGAAGCTACACGATGCTTTTACTGACTGAATAGTTCAAACTGAAGATGCTGTGATTTGATGACTCCACTGTTCCTACTATAAATATTCTGGATATTTGTCTTCACATTTCTTCAAAATTCATCCTGAAATATTTGTGATCTTTGTAAACGTTGTGATCTTGAGTTGAATCAGTTCCTGTGGGTTTTATTGGTCTGGCTGCACATCATGAGTTAGTGTAGATGGAGCAGAGTTTCAGATGTGAAGTCACCTCTTTATTATTGAAGTAGAAGCACGTTGTCTTTCATATTAATGAGAGATCTTTTCACTTTTCTCTCTTACAGCTTTTACCTGTTGGAGTTTCCACTTTCTAACCTTCTTCATCTCTGAACAGATTATTAAACCTGGAGATATTTCAAATTGGAACTTTGTTTTCTAAAGTTACATCATGTTTTCTTTATTCAGACTTAAGGACTGCAGCTTGTCAGGGATGAGCTGTTTTCATCTAGCCTCAGCTCTGAAGTCCAACCCCTCCCATCTGAGGGATCTGGATCTGAGTAGCAACAAACTGCAGGATTATGATGTGGAGGTTCTGAGTGACTTTCTGGAGAGTCCAGACTGCAGACTGGAGACTCTCAGGTCAGTTCTCCATCTTTTACTTCTGTGCTGAGATGAAGACAGTTGTGTTGACTCTGAGCTGCAGACATCAGGCTGATATCACACTGATCCTCACTGAGTATCTTAGGGGTGTAACGGTGTACGTACGGGCCCTTCGGTTCGGTACAAGTGTGTACCGAAGTGTGTACTGAAGTGTACTGAACGAATATAACGTTAAACGTCAAAAATTGAGAACGTGAACAACTTTTTGGAAGTAATCTCAGGTGCTGTGTCGCAGCATTCAGAGTAATTTGCTCACATTGGCTTCAACGCGTCATAGAGCGAGCAAGTAATTTCATTGGACGAGAGGCATACTATGAGAGCTGGTCACAGGGATGCGTTCAAATGTAGTCAGTAATTTGAGGAACTGTCGAAATAGCGAACGCAGATAAAGTTGAGCTCGAAAATCCTCCAGCATCATTGAAGTCTCCGGTTTGGGAACATTTTGGTTTTGCAGTTACGTACAAGGATGAAGGACAAAGACAGGTGGACCGAACCAAAGCTGTTTGTCGGCATTGTTCAACTAAAATAGGTTACGCGGCTGGCAATACATTAAACTTGCACACTCATTTGAAAAGGCATCACCGAACGTGAATATCACCGGTACCAAAAGAAAAAAGACTGAAGTGCAAACCCAACTCCCGCTAGCATGTAAGCCTCCACCACTCGCAGAGAGTTCAGACCGAGCCAAAGCTATTACAAACGCCACATATCCTTATGTTGCCATGTTAGCAAAGCGCTACCTGGCTGTGTCTGCTACCTCTGTCCCTAGAGAGGGTGTTCTCCACAGCAGGAGACATTGTTAGTTTGAGCAGATCTGCCCTTTCGGCAAGCAATGTGGACAAGTTCATCTTTCTTTAAACAACATGAAAATACAATGACAAGCAAGTCCTAATGTCAAGCTGGCTGCTTAGGTACTAGTACAGTTCAAATACAGATTATTTCAGTTCATCGAAATGCTCCACCTTAATGTTTATTTTATTATATGTTGTATTTATTCGAGTGAATATTCACAGTTTAATAATAAATAAAAACACAAAACTAATAGTTTATGTTTTGTGAGTACCAGTGGTGGCGCCAGGGTATGGCTGGCGTAGGCTACAGCCATACCAAGAAATGGCTTAGCCCCACCTTGAAAAATGATGTTAAAGTAAGCTAAATAAAGTCCGCCAACTCGCGCGGAGTAAATTGCACAGACAGCGGTTAGTAAGATTGATTTCAGTAGCCACTTGTCCACTTGTGTGGAAATACCGAAGACTAGAAACGGTTTTGAAAACTTTTGTCACGTAGTGATCGTCTTCTTAATAGAACATCTTTGATAATGTCTTCTGGCCAATCAGAATCAAGATAACGACGTGGTGTTGTTGCAGGAAGTCCCGACGGAGAATACTTTTACTGTAATACATCTCTATATACATCGATACAACATTACGTGTTGATAGAAATCAATACGTAATTAAATAAGACCTCACGGTTTGATGATTGATAGGTGTGTGGGCTGTCTTCATTTTGACACACAGAACAATGGGGGCTATCCACCCTTATCCACAATGTAAAGTAATTCACAGCCTCTTCCCTCTTCTCTCTGTGAGGAGCAGCAGGTTCAGCTTTCAGAACAAAGTAACAACAAACTAAAATGGCATTCATTTTTTAAAATATGTCGTGGAGTAATAGATTTATTTATTGTTCTTCTCAAGAGAGTACCAGAATGTGTATTTGATGTTAGTATTTAAAAAAATCTCCTGGGGGACAATCCCCCCAGACCCCCCTGCAGGGGTTGGGTTTTCAGCATGTCAACTCTTTCACCTGTGGAGAAATTGCAGGATTGGCTCCAGGTCGCCCTTTTTATTTACTACAAGACAAATGTGTTTTTTATTTCATACAGTTCAATTTAGATTGAGACAGGGAAATAATCTAAACCTCACGCGTGGCGTTTCACTGTCAAGGGGAGCGTGTATGTAATTACATTAGAAATACTGACTTGAGCCCCACCACTGTGTGGGTTAGCCCTACCATAGAGTACCCAACACAAATACTCTGGAGCCGCCACTGGTGAGTACTAGTACAGTAAAGTTCAAATACAGATTATTTCAGTTCATCGAAATGCTGCATCTTAATGTTTGTTATATTTTGTATTTATTTGAGTAAATACATTATTCACAGTTTAATAATAATTTTTAAAAAACAACAAATATTTAATGTTTTGTGATAATTTTTTATGCTGTACCGAAAACGTACCGAACCGAACCGTGACCTAAAAACCGAGGTACGTACCGAACCGAAATGTTTGTGAACCGTTACACCCCTAGAGTATCTTAATGCTGAGAATCCTACACAGCATAATTCACTCATCTTAAACACCTGAAACTCATCTTATATTCTGCAGCATGCTTTAAATCAATTATAAAGTACATATTTATATTAAAACGTTTTCTGAAGCTACACGATGCTTTTACTGACTGAATAGTTCAAACTGAAGATGCTGTGATTTGATGACTCCACTATTCCTAATATAAATATCTGGATATTTGTCTTCACATTTCTTCAAATTCATCCTGAAATATTTGTGATCTTTGTAAACGTTGTGATCTTGAGTTGAATCAGTTCCTGTGGGTTTTATTGGTCTGGCTGCACATCATGAGTTAGTGTAGATGGAGCAGAGTCTCAGATGTGAAGTCACCTCTTTATTATTGAAGTAGAAGCACGTTGTCTTTCATATTAATGAGAGATCTTTTCACTTTTTCTCTCTTACAGCTTTACCTGTTGGAGTTTCCACTTTCTAACCTTCTTCAGCTCTGAACAGATTATTAAACCTGGAGATATTTCAAATTGGAACTTTGTTTTCTAAAGTTACATCATGTTTTCTTTATTCAGACTTAAGGACTGCAGCTTGTCAGGGACGAGCTGTTTTCATCTAGCCTCAGCTCTGAAGTCCAACCCCTCCCATCTGAGGGATCTGGATCTGAGTAGCAACAAACTGCAGGATTATGATGTGGAGGTTCTGAGTGACTTTCTGGAGAGTCCAGACTGCAGACTGGAGACTCTCAGGTCAGTTCTCCATCTTTTACTTCTGTGCTGAGATGAAGACAGTTGTGTTGACTCTGAGCTGCAGACATCAGGCTGATATCAATTCTGATCCTCACTGAGTATCTTAGGGGTGTGACGGTGTACGTACGGGCCCTTCGGTTCGGTACAAATTGTGTGTACCGAAGTGTACTGAACGAATATAACGTTAAACGTAATAAATAGAGAACGTGAACAACTTTTAGGAAGTAATCTCAGGTGCTGCGTCGCAGCATTCAGAGTAATTTGCTCACATTGGGTTCAATGCGTCATAGAGCAAGCAAGTCAATTCATTGGACGAGAGGCATACTATGAGAGCTGGTCACAGGGATGCGTTCAAATCATAGACTGTATATATAAATGGACGTAGGGTCCGTGACGTCACCCATAGGATTCTGCAGAGTTGCCGTGAAGCCCTTAGTAGGCGGAGTCGGCCACTAACGGCTCGACAGTGACGCCAGAGTTCAACTCCGCCTTCTCCAAATAAGGGCAAAGAGGCGGAGCCGAGGCGGGACCTGCTGCCACCGAGCTGGAAGTTCCAGAGCTAGCTGAAGCTACCAAGCTAAGCTAACATGCTCCCCATCTGCCGTCGCATTTTACGTTTCTAAGGTAAGCGGACATGAAACTATTCAGCAAAACTATAAATAATAATCTAAGTTATTGAGCTTTTAGCATAATACTTCAGAATCTTAAAACCCCTTAACGTTTGTATGCAATTGTGCTAAATTCAACACTGGAATCAAGCAAATATTAATATGTTTGCATGACATTAGTTATTTATATTTTGATATCACTTAACTATACGTTTAATACATTTAAGTCAAGCTAAGGTACATGTGATGGTAGCTAGTTAGCGCTCTTACCTGTGAGGCCTCCTCCAAACAGCATAATAACCAGACTATCATTAAAACTAAGTACCAGTTATAGATCCTTGACTTTAGACAAACAATTCAAAAGACAAAATGTATTTAAAGACCAATCTTTATTTGAATGTGCCTCTTAACCTGAGATATTAGTTATACAGTAATAGTATTGACAATCTAAAAAACTGAGCAACTCAACAGTCAACTTTATGTTTCTTATTGTCTAAAGCATTTGTTATTTTCATTTTCCCAATCTCATATTCAGTGTGGACGGATTGAGACAGCGTGGTGTCCAGAGAGCTGCAGAGACTTCAGGGAGAAACCTCCGTGTGGTGGACGTCCTGTCTGTTGGTTTGGAGAGGACTGAGGGTCTTCCCTCTGCGAGGAGGACCAGGCCTGATGAAGGAGCCCATGCTGGGCAAAGCTGATACCAACTGCACAGGCCTAGTCGGTCACTTTATTTGACTAAATGTGTTTAATACATTTAATAGATTTACACCTTCTGTCCATATGTGCTTTTTATTTAAAACATTTGATTAACTTTTGGTTCACATTTCAATAAATTGTATTTGTATTTGCTCTCCTTTTGTCCATTATTCTTACTGAAAATGTTAGATTACACATTCACATCTGACTGAAGATTGGCCCCATTTATTTGTGACGTTGCAAAACAAGGTACATGTTGTGAAGCTCATAAAGTGAGGCAAATAGAAATAATCAGCGGATGGAGTGTAGATGTGGAAATAGCTGCATTCGATCAGCTGACTGTTTTTACAATAAAAGTAGTTTCTTAGTGAATGTCCTGTACTGGTCTTGAAATCTTATAACATCAGCTCTTAATGTTCCTCTTGGATGTTCTTCTTGACCCTCAGAGAAGGAGAAAATGTCCTGTCTTTCAGGCATGTCTGTGTCAGTAATTTGAGGAACTGTCGAAATGCGAACGCAGATAAAGTTGAGCTCGAAAATCCTCCAGCATCATTGAAGTCTCCGGTTTGGGAACATTTTTGGTTTTGCAGTTACGTACAAGGATGAGAGACAAAGACAGGTGGACCGAACCAAAGCTGTTTGTCGGCATTGTTCAACTAACATAGGGTACGCGGCTGGCAATACATTAAACTTGCACACTCATTTGAAAAGGCATCACCGAACGTGAATATCACCGGTACCAAAAGAAAAAAGACTGAAGTGCAAACTCAACTCCCGCTAGCATGTAAGCCTCCACCACTCGCAGAGAGTTCAGACCGAGCCAAAGCTATTACAAACGCCAAATATCCTTATGTTGCCATGTTAGCAAAGCGCTACCTGGCTGTGTCTGCTACCTCTGTCCCTAGAGAGGGTGTTCTCCACAGCAGGAGACATTGTTAGTGCCAGCAGATCTGCCCTTTCGGCAAGCAATGTGGACAAGTTCATCTTTCTTTAAACAACATGAAAATACAATGACAAGCAAGTCCTAATGTCAAGCTGGCTGCTTAGGTGCTAGTACAGTTCAAATACAGATTATTTCAGTTCATCGAAATGCTCCACCTTAATGTTTATTTTATTATATGTTGTATTTATTCGAGTGAATATTCACAGTTTAATAATAAATAAAAACCCAAAACTAATAGTTTATGTTTTGTGAGTACCAGTGGTGGCGCCAGGGTATGGCTGGCGTAGGCTACAGCCATACCAAGAAATGGCTTAGCGCCACCTTAGCCCCACCTTGAAAAATGATGTTAAAGTAAGCTAAATAAAGTCCGCCAACTCGCGCGGAGTAAATTGCACAGACAGCGGTTAGTAAGATTGATTTCAGTAGCCACTTGTCCACTTGTGTGGAAATACAGAAGACTAGAAACGGTTTTGAAAACTTTTGTCACGTAGTGATCGTCTTCTTAATAGAACATCTTTGATAATGTCTTCTGGCCAATCAGAATCAAGATAACGGCGTGGTGTTGTTGCAGGAAGTCCCGACGGAGAATACTTTTGCTGTAGTACATCTCTATATACATCGATACAACATTACGTGTTGATAGAAATCAACCCGTAATGAAATAAGACCCCACGGTTTGATGATTGATAGGTGTGTGGGCTGTCTTCATTTTGACACACAGAACAATGGGGGCTATCCACCCTTATCCACAATGTAAAGTAATTCACAGCCTCTTCCCTCTTCTCTCTGTGAGGAGCAGCAGGTTCAGCTTTCAGAACAAAGTAACAACAAACTAAAATGGCATTCATTTTTTAAAATATGTCGTGGAGTAATAGATTTATTTATGTTTCTTCTCAAGAGAGTACCAGAATGTGTATTTGATGTTAGTATTTCAAAAAATCTCCTGGGGGACAATCCCCCCAGACCCCCCCTGCAGGGGTTGGGTTTTCAGCATGTCAACTCTTTCACCTGTGGAGAAATTGCAGGATTGGCTCCAGGTCGCCCTTTTTATTTACTACAAGACAAATGTGTTTTTTATTTCATACAGTTCAATTTAGATTGAGACAGGGAAATAATCTAAACCTCACGCGTATCGTTTCACTGTCAAGGGGAGCGTGTATGTAATTACATTGCAAATACTGACTTGAGCCCCACCACTGTGTGGGTTAGCCCTACCATAGAGTACCCAACACAAATACTCTGGAGCCGCCACTGGTGAGTACTAGTACAGTAAAGTTCAAATACAGATTATTTCAGTTCATCGAAATGCTGCACCTTAATTTTTATTATATTTTGTATTTATTTGAGTAAATACATTATTCATAGTTTAATAATAATTTTTAAAAAACAACAAATATTTAATGTTTTGTGATAATTTTTTATGCTGTACCGAAAACGTACCGAACCGAACCGTGACCTAAAAACCGAGGTACGTACCGAACCGAAATGTTTGTGAACCGTTACACCCCTAGAGTATCTTAATGCTGAGAATCCTACACAGCATAATTCACTCATCTTAAACACCTGAAACTCATCTTATATTCTGCAGCATGCTTTAAATCAATTATATAGTACATATTTATATTAAAACGTTTTCTGAAGCTACACGATGCTTTTACTGACTGAATAGTTCAAACTGAAGATGCTGTGATTTGATGACTCCACTGTTCCTACTATAAATATTCTGGATATTTGTCTTCACATTTCTTCAAAATTCATCCTGAAATATTTGTGATCTTTGTAAACGTTGTGATCTTGAGTTGAATCAGTTCCTGTGTGTTTTATTGGTCTGGCTGCACATCATGAGTTTAGTGTAGATGGAGCAGAGTCTCAGATGTGAAGTCACCTCTTTATTATTGAAGGAGAAGCACGTTGTCTTTCATATTAATGAGATCTTTTCACTTTTTCTCTCTTACAGCTTTTACCTGTTGGAGTTTCCACTTTCTAACCTTCTTCAGCTCTGAACAGATTATTAAACCTGGAGATATTTCAAATTGGAACTTTGTTTTCTAAAGTTACATCATGTTTTCTTTATTCAGACTTAAGGACTGCAGCTTGTCAAGGACGAGCTGTTTTCATCTAGCCTCAGCTCTGAAGTCCAACCCCTCCCATCTAGAGGATCTGGATCTGAGTAGCAACAAACTGCAGGATTATGATGTGGAGGTTCTGAGTGACTTTCTGAAGAGTCCAGACTGCAGACTGGAGACTCTCAGGTCAGTTCTCCATCTTTTACTTCTGTGCTGAGATGAAGACAGTTGTGTTGACTCTGAGCTGCAGACATCAGGCTGATATCATTCTGATCCTCACTGAGTATCTTAGGGGTGTGACGGTGTACGTACGGGCCCTTCGGTTTGGTACAAGTGTGTACCGAAGTGTACTGAACGAATATAACGTTAAACGTAAAAAATTGAGAACATGAACAACTTTTTGGAAGTAATCTCAGGTGCTGCGTCGCAGCATTCAGAGTAATTTGCTCACATTGGGTTCAACGCGTCATAGAGCAAGCAAGTCAATTCATTGGACGAGAGGCATACTATGAGAGCTGGTCACAGGGATGCGTTCAATATGTAGTCAGTAATTTGAGGAACTGTCGAAATGGCGAACGCAGATAAAGTTGAGCTCGAAAATCCTCCAGCATCATTGAAGTCTCCGGTTTGGGAACATTTTGGTTTTGCAGTTACGTACAAGGATGAGAGACAAAGACAGGTGGACCGAACCAAAGCTGTTTGTCGGCATTGTTCAACTAACATAGGTTACGCGGCTGGCAATACATTAAACTTGCACACTCATTTGAAAAGGCATCACCGAACGTGAATATCACCGGTACCAAAAGAAAAAAGACTGAAGTGCAAACCCAACTCCCGCTAGCATGTAAACCTCCACCACTCGCAGAGAGTTCAGACCGAGCCAAAGCTATTACAAACGCCAAATATCCTTATGTTGCCATGTTAGCAAAGCGCTACCTGGCTGTGTCTGCTACCTCTGTCCCTAGAGAGGGTGTTCTCCACAGCAGGAGACATTGTTAGTTTCAGCAGATCTGCCCTTTCGGCAAGCAATGTGGACAAGTTCATCTTTCTTTAAACAACATGAAAATACAATGACAAGCAAGTCCTAATGTCAAGCTGGCTGCTTAGGTGCTAGTACAGTTAAAATACAGATTATTTCAGTTCATCGAAATGCTGCACCTTAATGTTTATTATATTATATGTTGTATTTATTCGAGTGAATATTCACAGTTTAATAATAAATAAAAACCCAAAACTAATAGTTTATGTTTTGTGAGTACCAGTGGTGGCGCCAGGGTATGGCTGGCGTAGGCTACAGCCATACCAAGAAATGGCTTAGCCCCACCTTAGCCCCACCTTGAAAAATGATGTTAAGTAAGCTAAATAAAGTCCGCCAACTCGCGCGGAGTAAATTGCACAGACAGCGGTTAGTAAGATTGATTTCAGTAGCCACTTGTCCACTTGTGTGGAAATACAGAAGACTAGAAACGGTTTTTGAAAACTTTTGTCACGTAGTGATCGTCTTCTCAATAGAACATCTTTGATAATGTCTTCTGGCCAATCAGAATCAAGATAACGGCGTGGTGTTGTTGCAGGAAGTCCCGACGGAGAATACTTTTGCTGTAGTACATCTCTATATACATCGATACAACATTACGTGTTGATAGAAATCAACCCGTAATGAAATAAGACCCCACGGTTTGATGATAGATAGGTGTGTGGGCTGTCTTCATTTTGACACACAGAACAATGGGGGCTATCCACCCTTATCCACAATGTAAAGTAATTCACAGCCTCTTCTCTCTGTGAGGAGCAGCAGGTTCAGCTTTCAGAACAAAGTAACAACAAACTAAAATGGCATTCATTTTTTAAAATATGTCGTGAAGTAATAGATTTATTTATTTTTCTTCTCAAGAGAGTACCAGAATGTGTATTTGATGTTAGTATTTCAAAAAATCTCCTGGGGGAAAATCCCCCCAGACCCCCCTGCAGGGGTTGGGTTTTCAGCATGTCAACTCTTTCACCTGTGGAGAAATTGCAGGATTGGCTCCAGGTCGCCCTTTTTATTTACTACAAGACAAATGTGTTTTTTATTTCATACAGTTCAATTTGGATTGAGACAGGGAAATAATCTAAACCTCACGCGTGGCGTTTCACTGTCAAGGGGAGCGTGTATGTAATTACATTGCAAATACTGACCTGAGCCCCACCACTGTGTGGGTTAGCCCTACCATAGAGTACCCAACACAAATACTCTGGAGCCGCCACTGGTGAGTACTAGTACAGTAAAGTTCAAATACAGATTATTTCAGTTCATCGAAATGCTGCATCTTAATTTTTATTATATTTTGTATTTATTTGAGTAAATACATTATTCACAGTTTAATAATAATTTTTAAAAAACATCAAATATTTAATGTTTTGTGATCATTTTTTATGCTGTACCGAAAACGTACCGAACCGAACCGTGACCTAAAAACCGAGGTACGTACCGAACCGAAATGTTTGTGAACCGTTACACCCCTAGAGTATCTTAATGCTGAGAATCCTACACAGCATAATTCACTCATCTTAAACACCTGAAACTCATCTTATATTCTGCAGCATGCTTTAAATCAATTATAAAGTACATATTTATATTAAAACGTTTTCTGAAGCTGCACGATGCTTTTACTGACTGAATAGTTCAAACTGAAGATGCTGTGATTTGATGACTCCACTATTCCTAATATAAATATTCTGGATATTTGCCTTCACATTTCTTCAAAATTCATCCTGAAATATTTGTGATCTTTGTAAACATTGTGATCTTGAGTTGAATCAGTTCCTGTGGGTTTTATTGGTCTGGCTGCACATCATGAGTTAGTGTAGATGGAGCAGAGTTTCAGATGTGAAGTCACCTCTTTATTATTGAAGTAGAAGCACGTTGTCTTTCATATTAATGAGAGATCTTTTCACTTTTTCTCTCTTACAGCTTTTACCTGTTGGAGTTTCCACTTTCTAACCTTCTTCAGCTCTGAACAGATTATTAAACCTGGAGATATTTCAAACTGGAACTTTGTTTTCTAAAGTTACATCATGTTTTCTTTATTCAGACTTAAGGACTGCAGCTTGTCAGGGATGAGCTGTTTTCATCTAGCCTCAGCTCTGAAGTCCAACCCCTCCCATCTAAGAGATCTGGATATGAGTGGCAACAAACTGCAGGATTATGAAGTGGAGCTGCTGAGTGATCTTCTGGAGAGTCCAGACTGCAGACTGGAGACTCTCAGGTCAGTTCTCCATCTTTTACTTCTTTGCTGAGAGGAAGAGAGTTGTGTTGACTCTGAGCTGCAGACATCAGGCTGATATCACACTGATCCTCACTGAGTATTGTAAGGGAAACTTCTGCAGCAATGGAGAGTCAGGACTCAGAGAGACACGGGACAACCAGGAGTTCTGATGTCAATCACTGATATTTAATACAAGTATCGGCCGGAGAAATTCACATCACAAGTCACATTAGCCAGAGATTCTGACTGCACGGGTAGTTTGCCACGTCAAATCTGATCAGCCTCGCATCTTGGTAGACCCTTTAACCATTTTACAGAGAGTCAAATCCACATATTGGGGATGGGCGTAAACACCTGGAGACACAGGAGATGTCTCTCACATCTGTGGTGCTTAGAAGCCAGCGTTCTCACAGTCGTAAAACCCCCCCTGTGCCCGCTAGGTCAGGCCATAAAACCTGGTAGTATCAACATACGACTGCATTATCACATTCCTTACGGGAAATTAGAAGCAGGGTTGGTCGTAAATGTCAACACACAGAATAGGTTAAATATCTAGGAGTAAAAACAGAAATATTCTTTGACAGTCTGACTTTTTATCATTTATTGATACCTTTAAAACATTAGTCTAATAATAATTTGGTCAATACTTAAATCAATAGGCGTCTTCAGATTTGAGTGTGGTCTCACCGTACATCAATTACATCACAAAGTAGAATAAGATTGAAACATTCAACCACAATGATTGATACAACCAATCATAACAGAAAAATCATCTCTCATCAATGTTTTGGATCATCTTTTGTCAAAAGCACAATAATTAACACACATAAAACACAGATGCATAATAGCAAAAACATCTATTTTAAAATAATATGTTTTAAAAATTAACCATTAGTTAATCTCCTTTATCAAACTATAAAATCAAAACCAGCTTGCAGTTTTCTAATCACTAGTCAAAAGCATTTAAAACGTAGGATCATAAGAGATCCAGCTAAGGTATACACTTCACAGTTGTGATTTGATCAATCTGTAATCTGCAAAATTGCAGTGTCTTCAATTTTAGGATTATTTTACGTTTACTTCATTACATATTAAATCAAAAGACTATGGCATGATAACATAATTACATTACTTCAACTATCAATCATTATGTCATTTCAAAATCTGAAGGGAAAATTAAACAATTCTCAAAATGTTTAACAATCTGAAAAGGAAACATTAGGCAAATATTCAAAGACTTTTGTAAAAACCTGGAAAGGAAGGTTTAAACGTTTAAAACTTGAAACATCATTGTAGGTCTTTCTGTGCATGGATAATACATTGAAGAGTAGTGTTGTTAAGCCTGATTGCTGGACAATTAAGGATAGTAACATTATCTGTTATAATATTAGAAATATCTTATTGTTCAATACCTTATAATCTGAAAATATCAATTAATTTATTTTGTTTAGTGTGAAAGTGTGATGGAAACTTCTGTGCAGCAATGCAGAGCCAAGGCTCAGGAAAGGATGGAAGCTGGAGCGGCTTTAGTCAAACACTGATATTTATTGAGAGTAGAATACGGCCGGAGAGATCACAAAGTATATCACATTTTCATGTGAGCCACCAAGCAACACTCTGAAGACAAAGAGTAGAAACATAGATAGATATATCCTTAAAGGAGGGACCTAAAAAGCCCGCCTTTCCTACCTTAATCATTATCAGACATTGGAACAAAGACCCGTTGTGCCAAACTTCTCACCCACAGGAAGGCAGATGACCTCTTGACCTGTGTCCTCCTCACATTACAGGCAGGAGCATATGCGACTTAACGAAAAGCATATGTTTGTAAATTAATAGTATCTCAGAAAAGCTGAGAACCTCAAGACACAAAGAGATCTCCTTAAAATATTCTCTGACAGAAAGTGTAATCTGATCTGACAAAAATATATTTATCACCACTATTTAACACATATCTGTTCATCGGAAATATAAAGACAATCATTAATTGCACATCTGTAAACATCTGGTCATTCAATTCAAATGTTATCTTTGTACGAGAGCTGGAAGAACATGTCTTCCTGACTCGTTCTCCTCCTCTCTTTATGACACAGAATGTCTGGTGTGTAAAGGCATCCTGATACTGTAGATTAGCACTGAGGTGCTGATTGGCTCAAAACTCTTCTTCATCAGAGCGCCATATTTCAACCCCCCCAATTGCTCTGCTTTTGTGTGGCTCATTCAGTGAGCACTGTATGATCCCCCAGTGAAATGGAGGCTCATCTGCCTCGATTCCTTCTGCTATCTGCTTGAGAGCAGTGCAACTGCCTATTCCAAGTGGCACATCCAGATGCCCCCCCCCATGATGGGAGAGGTTAGGAAGACATCTGCTCCTCCAGGAAACATGGAACCTTGTATTATAAAAGCCTCTGAAGCCATCGCTCGTCCTGCAGAGTTGTCTGCTTGAGCCCACCGAGCAGAAAGATGAAGAAGCATCCCATCTCATCAGAAAGTTGAAGATTAGAATCCTCTCATCTCGAACGACCTCGTGCCTCCTTGCCCGTGGATGGGGTGCTCTCTGCAGCCGCAGAGTGTGACCCTCTCTCTCTGACCCTTGGCTTTTCAGAGCTCTCCTAGTTATTGGGTTAACACTTGATAGGGATGTTTTCCTGAGTGCAGACAACTCAAAGTAATGGATTAGCACATTATCATTTAATTACAAAAATAGGATAGGCCCCTCAGAATTATTTGGGAGCCTTCCTGAGACATGCACATGCATACATTTAAGGTTTGTGTTATTCATTTAACATGCAAGAATCATATACTCATCAGTCCAAAGCAGAGAAATGTTATTTTAAGTTAAATGTGAGCTAGTCCCTGTAGATATAACCCCTTCTCAATGATTCTAAATGTTATATTAATTCACCATTTACCGTTTGATAAAAGATTAGTTTATCAGAAGTACATTTCCTCTTCCATAAAACATAGGTTTGAGAAATGAATGTTCCAATATGAAATCAATTACTCAAGATAATTGACTCTCCCCTCCCTTTTCTTACATATGTCACATATGTAATAACAACGTAGGAGTCTATTTAAACATGGTATCGTCTATAAGCTATTAATCGAGAAGACGCAGTATCAGTATGCAACTCGCAAATATCTCTTCTCTCTTTCCTATCCCTCTCTTCCCTCTTCTCTCTATAATCTCTTCCACATCTCTCTCTAATCTCTCTTCCTCATCCCTCTCTCTTCCTCATCTCTCTCTCATCCTCATCTCCCTCTTTCCTCACTTCCCCATGTCTTTCTCTTCTCACTTCCCCATGTCTTTCTCTTCTCACTTTCCCATCTCTTTCTTCTCTCACTTCTGTTAGATATGAAATAAAACATACAAGTCCATGTAAGCATGGTATAGATCATAATCCATTACTCGAGAAGACTCAGTATCACCTGTGCGCAGCTCACAAAAAACAATTGTGAGAAACATATATTATGCAGGAAATGCATACCTTTGTTAAAAAAACAAAGCATAGCCGATGCAGGAGGAAAAGCTTCAACCCCCTTAACATCTGAGTTACCACTGAAGGCATAGCATGAATGATAGTGGGTGTCATTACTGAGAAATGTCAAACAAATTCAAAACCTTACATTTGAAAACAGGTTTGCATTCCTCCACTTAAGGTGACGTTATCATTGGAAACAATAAAAACGAACTGTTTTGATGTAGAATCTATAAATTGAATCGTTAGAGCAGAACAGAATGGTTGTATTGTAGCCTGAGTTCCGTGCAGCCTCTAGTTTCACCAGGTGGAAACATGGTCCATATAATGTGAATACATGCAGAATTAGACAGTAAGAGGCTCCTGACATTAGGCCTATACTAAAAATAGTAGGGGCTTTTAACAGCTTGCCAACTTACAGGCATCCTCTGCATAGCAGTATGAATAGCCTTAAAAAAAAATTAAAAACCCACTCTGCGGTAACGAAAGTCATGTGTCTGACCCAAATGCCCCAAGTGAAGCCGTTAGTCTCATCTGACTGACCCAAGGGTTGGTGCTGGTGTGACAGGGAGGCTCCCAAGTGTTCAAAGCAGATGTCAAGCTTTCAGTTCATGGCTCGGTGGGGGGAGCAGACCCACGTGAGACAGTATCAATGGCTGCAATGTTCAGTTTGAAGAGTGTCATTGTCTCTGGGAGCAGGAAATGGTGTCCATTCTCGGACCAGACCATTAATGTCATTGCATGTAAGCAGCCATAGCATCTCTGCGACTGCACTCAGCCGGACTGTAGCAGGGCAGAACTGGGTGACTCTTAGTGAAGCCGTCCAAGGCCATAGACAAAATGGAACCACGTACTAACAAAAAGGACATCAATGTCTCTCTTTACCATTGGCCTAATCATAAAACAAATTAGTGGGAAAAATGTGGAACACTAATCCATCATGTGAAATGTTGAGTTAATTTAAATAATTACTTATGGGTTGAAATCAAATTAACATTAACATTAGAACTAAAGTCAGTTAAAATTGGACTTGCACGGATCAGAATCTAATCAATACACAATTTTCCCAGCTCTGTAACGAAAAGGATAACAACATTAGGTACATTACAGGAGTGTGAAAACACCCAAACATGCACACTTATCTTATTCTAGTAGAGATTAGAGCACAGGTCTAATGTTGTGAACAGAATTGTCAAGTCAAAGTTTTAGTTATTTTATCTTATGTACCACATTTAATTTAATAATTAACCTTGAATTACTAATAACTCTAAAGAGGGCAACAATTTACAAAGTGGATAAGGCTTCCAAAGTGTGTGTGTGTGTGTGTGTGTGTGTGTGTGTGTGTGTGTGTGTGTGTGTGTGTGTGTGTGTGTGTGGTGTGTGTGTGTGTGTGTGTGTGTGTGTGTGTGTGTGTGTGTGTGTGGTGTGTGTGGTGTGTGTGTGTGTGTGTGTGTGTGTGTGTGTGTGTGTGTGTGTGTGTGTGTGTGTGTGTGTGTGTGTGTGTGTGTGTGTGTGTGTGTG